TTTTGGAGATATCTGGACTGAGAATTTGGCGCCTCGAAGTAGATACTCGCTGCTGGCACTCTATGGGTTAGAAATTTCTAGTAATTAAGGCAATCGCCAAAGCTTCGCCCATTTCTGTAAGCTTGAAATTAGCACACCTTGACTACAATATTCGAAGAGAAACTTAGCTATTCATTGCGCAAAGAATTCAAAATTTTCATAATTAGGCACTTACAAGCCTACAACAAATAGGCTTAAAAAGTGAACATTTTTGAATTTTTATCTTTTCCTTCCGCAAAACTCCTTTGTTGGAGGTTTTTCTATATACACATATACTATTGGCCTGCGGCTACAAAATAAGCTAATTAGGAGACATAGGGACAGAGCTTGAAGGGAGTTGTAAGCTCTTGAAGACGAGGTTTTCAGAAGAAAAACTTCCAGTTTTCTGATGCATGGTTTTCTTCCCTTTTGCGATATCAGTACGAGCAGGTGCGCGCTAAATTGCGAAAGGTTTGCTGTTTCTGAAGGTCTTGACCGCATTCAGAAATATGGAGACCGAACGAAGTTATAGCCTTCCAAAGTGAAAATTTGCAAAACGGACATTATTTTTGCAACAACCTAATACTTAGAAGCAGATATTTTCCCGGATAGAGTCTTGAAACCTGGAATTGTTGAACATTGGATCCTATCCTCTCCAATTCATCAACTGTAGCCTTTCACACTCTAAAGACATAAGTATCCTCGCGTAAATCCCATGCAAATATGAAAAAAAGCAATTCACCGCAAGTACGCCATGCCCTTCTCTGACGTCAATGTTTATCATGCTGGCACAGGTAATTTTAACCTTGAGAGATAAATTTTGATGAATACGAAATTATACCTTGAGGTAGATTCTACCTTGAGGTAGCTTCTCAAGATATCTTATATTCCGCGGAAAATCATGCAGTGAATGTGCCAACTCCGCTCAGCTGCTATGCTACAGTCCACCTGCGGTCTTTGGGTGCAATTGCACCAAAATACACTCAAACCGCGATCCTCCATAGGGCGGCTGACCCCGGATCATAAGTTTACTATAGTTTTCCTTCCCCTGTCAGTCCACAACTTGTAAATCGCAGTAATAATTAAGGGCCACAGCTTGTCCGCTTCCAGCATCTGAGCTGGCACGTTTGGGACATTACGACAATCGTTAGTTTTGAATTTGGTATAGCTGATTTTGGTAGATAATCCTCAGAATTTTGCTTTTGCTGAAGGAGAAAGATCATGGCGTCCACGTAGCTTCGCACTCAGTTTGTAACAATTCCCTATGTTTCTCCAAATAATTCTTACTCTTATTCATCCTTCTCTTTAAGCTAAGATACAGCTCTACTACGTCAGGACACCATTCAAGAATCCGGGATATTGTTTCGATAAAACTTTCCAGCAAGGATTACGAGATATTGGAGAGCTACTGAAAGCACATTCGTGATCAGCAAACTGGAAGAAACCACTCAACAAATTTTTAAGCAACTTTAAAATTTTGAGCCATCTCACGTTTCAAAAAATTTCAACTTTATGAAACTGGCATTCTTTTCGTAGCATACCATTAGACCCTGGGGCAGTACAGTCGTCTATTCTGTGATTTTGATACCATACAATAGACCAGTGGCCTAATGGATGGGAGGGGATAGTCTGAAAATTTTTAAAACTTACCTACATGAGTTGTAAGAATTTGCAAGTGAGTTGTTTACGCTTGTAATTCCATAATTTTTCGAATTTTTTGGCACATTTTAAGTTAGCCTTGTGAAAGAATATTTTCGGCGAAAAACCGCAAAGAGACCACAAATATTTTAGGGAACATTCCAAATATTTTTTCGGAGTGCGTGGCTAGCACTGTCTCTGGACTCGCGCATGCAGCTTAAGAATTCTTCCCAGCAACCCTACTGGTGCGCCCAAGTCATCAGCCAAGTCAAGTCAGTCATATCATCGCGTATCATGTTGACTTGGTAATCGAGCTGACAAGAAGAAAATTCGGCACGGAGTTTAATGTAGTATCTTTTTCAAATTTCAAAGGTTAATACCTTGCTAGGATTCGGAGCCAACGACGCCGGTGCGTGTGAGGAAGAAAACGCGCTCCAATCGAACAACCTACGCAGCTGGCGGGATCAAGGGGGAAATCGTAGAATAGGGTCAAAGGCTAATCGTTATATCCATCCTCATGCTGGGCTCCGCTTCCCGTTTATTTCATTGAGGCAGCTGGCGGCTGGCGCTTGAGGTTGAAACATTTCGGATAATTCCAGTTACAAGCGCTTCTTCGGAGACAGATCTCATTCTTACAGATAACTTATTGTTAGAAGAACACAGATTATGGTGTCAAAAATGTATGATCTTTAGGATAATTAACTAAAGACGACATTGATATCTCTTTCAAGATTGTCACGCTGTGATTACCTACTTGCCTATTACCTACTTGTTCTCTTTGCTTTTCTCGTCCGCTCCTCAAGCGGCGCAACATACGCAAAGCGAGCATTACCTGCGAACGGTTTTAAAGTATATATACCCACAGAACGAATGTAGAAAAGAGAGAACAAATAAGGAAGTTTTTATACACCGGTGAGAGTTATGGCATGCCTTGAATGAGCATCACCGCAAATCATGACTGAGGTAGAATAACCTTGAGGTACTTTGGTGAATACGAAACAGCCTTGAGGTAGAGTGTACCTTGAGGTACATTTTACCTCAAGGTTCATTTTACCTCAGGTAGCAATGATGAATACGGCCTCAGAATTTTGTTAAGATTAACTGTTTGAGATAAACACACAGTCCAAATGCATTGGCCCAAACCATGGGAGCTGTCAAGGTCATAGCTCTAAACTGGAATAAGATCAATATCATCTCATAAACCTGAGAAACGACGTGGTAATCCCATCCGAGCTTGGTTGCCTCGATTAGCGACAGCACATATCGAAATGTTGACATTTAGCATTGCACGATGGCGGAGCGTGACCCGGTGATAAAAGTTGCGCGCGCGACGCGACCGCCCGCGCAGCCGACTCTGTAGATTGTAGATTTAGATGGGGCCATTTAGCACCTTCAATTGCTGGTTCACTAGTAGTGTAAGTACGAGCGGGTGTTGTTCCATGGCAATGTATAGGCGATTCATTGCGCTCAAAGACAGGGCGTCGTTGGGGACGCTATCAGCGGCTCGCTAGTCGAGCACTCTTTCATTCCTACTGCCATCTGCTGTCTTTTCCATGCGCGATATATATTAGTCGGACGCAACGACTTCACTTTGTATCTGCGATGAATCGCTATGTTCTTCGTATCCGAGTTTACGTGAGTGACTTGAGTTATAGCAAGTGTGAAAAGAAAGAGCATGCAGATCATAGTAGAAAAAGAAACGTCTGCTCCTGAGCTGCACGGAGTGAGTGTATCGAATTTTTACGAATAATATGTTCGCCGCTGAAGCGAATCATCCAAGTAGGCCAGCTCTGCCCCAACTATCAGATTGTTGCTTATAGGACTGTTCATAGGCGTTGTGATATGTGTTAGTCAGGCTGCTTTCTTGATAGCCTGAAGTCGGCAAAGCCAGGCAATGTCCCTGCCATGTATGCTGCCGCTACGTCCGGCATACATGACAGGGACATTGCTTGACTTTCGCGGCTGATTTCTAGAGGGTGCGCAATCAGCATGACTGCATCGGTGGTGTCCGCTTGAAAAACTGTAGGATCTGTTAACACGTTTCGGACCGGTGCTGCACATGGTGCAGACGCTGTTTTGAAGAATCTTTTTGAAGTTTACGAGAGGTTTTCTTATGGTCCAAGGTCATCAAGTCAAAGGCCTAAGCTTCTACTTGTCAAATGACTCTGTAGAGTCGTGCCGGTGATATTTGTTTAGGAGATATGAGCACAAATCGAACAACAGTTGCAATGAAGTGCGGCAACGCGAACGACGCGTGCGACGTCGCAACTTCCTTTTGCTTCGATATCTATCTATCTAGTCTATCTAGTCTAGGTTATAAAGAATCGTAAGCGCAATTTAAAAAATGTGCAGATAGCGGGAAACCGCGGTGCGGTCCCGAAGCGCGCGGATGCAATCTAGCACCTTTAACACGTTTCGGACCGCGAAATCGCGCGCGGCGAAAAAGAGTGTACTTTCAGCCGTTAGCCTACAAAGGGACCTTATTTCGCGCCTATGGGCCACATTTGTAATCAGCATGTCAGATAAGCTCCATATCCAAAGTTCTGAGTGAAATCGAAGTGTTTGAATTTTGTCGCTTGAGGGGGACTTTTGTGCTTTCTTGAAAGATAGGAACAAGAACTCAGATTCTAATAGTGTTCAAAAGTATCTATGTTGGACACGGTACACATCAGTATCAAAACTACGGTTTTTCTCCTTGATATCAAAGCAAAGGAAAGTTGCGACGTCGCACGCGTCGTTCGCATCGCCGCACTTTGTTGCAACTGTTGTTCGATTTGTGCTCATATCTCCTAAACATATATCGGCGGCACACCTATACAGAGTCATTTGAAAAATAGGAGATTAGACCTTTAACTTAACAACTTCAGACTAAGAGGAAATCTTCTGCAAACGCCAGAAAGATCCCTCAAAGCAGCGTGCTGCACCATGTGCAGCACCGGTCCGAAACGTGTTAATTACTGGTTCCCTAGTCAAAGAGAAAAACCGTAGTTTCAATATTGATTTGTACCGTCTACAACATAGATACTTTTGGACAATATTAGAAACTGAGTTCTTGTTCCAATCTTTCAAGAAAGCCGGGAAGTCCCTCTCAAACGACAATATCTAAACACATCGAATCCACTCAGGACCTTGGGTATGGAACTTATCTGACAAGCTGATTACAGATGTAACACACAGTCTACGAAATTAGGTCCCTTTGTTGGCTAATGGCTGAAAGTGCACTGTTTTTTGCCGCGCGCCATTTCGCGGTCCGAAACATGTTAATGTAGGAGATGTTAGTGCTGAACGGCAGTGCTTCAAAGATAGACTGTTATCATCTGTTATAATTATCTAGTCAATATCAGATATCGGAGAGAAAGTGGATGTTCATTTCTTCAAGCAAGGAATTAAGCCTGTTTGGGAAGATGAAGCAAACATCAAGGGAGGAAAATGGATACTTCGGTTGAAAAAGGTAGAACTGTACCCTCGTTTTCTCAATTCCAGCTTTTTTTTGCAGGGGTTATCTTCTCGTATATGGGAAAACTTATTGCTCGCTATGGCTGGAGAACAGTTTCTTGTTGGTAACGAAATTTGTGGAGCAGTGTGTTCAGTTCGCAACCAGGAGGATATAGTTTCTCTATGGAATAGGTATATACTTCAGTTTTCAGATCAGGTATCCTTAGCGAAAACTACGCACTTTGGAGCTGTTGTTCTTGTTTTGACCAATTCTACAGTTTGTCGTTGATCTCCTTATTACTTACCAAATTATGATTGTATATCGTTGAATTCGATCACATATCATTGACATACATCGTTCAGAACAGCTGACAATATCGGTGTCACGAATCGCATACGTGATACGTTGCGTCGGGTGTTAAACCTTCCGGTCAACGCAGTTATGGAGTACAAACGCCACGATGAGTGTCTGAAGTCAGTTATGTTCACGTGTTGGGTCATGTTATTTCATTTATTTACCATGGATTTTCGTCAAAAGTCTATACTCAACTCTATATTCTATATCATCATCCATATATGACCGTAACGACCAAATTCTATCCATATTTCGAGACATTAACATTGATATTGGGCCACTGGTTCCGATTTTATTCGAATCCAAGCATTTGGGAGACAATAACCTATCTATCTGATCTTCACATGCGCAATTTTTCTTTTTGATTGAGTCTCAGCTCATTACAGTTTTTGACTTTTGCTTTCACAGATCGCGTTTGTTACAGAGGAAAAATATGCTTATACGAAGCAGCTTTATAAGCGCCCTTTGATCATGTTTCATAGCAGTCCATTCACACCCCTAAGTCTGTCATTCCAAGTACCTGGAAATGATTTTGATAATCCTCCAGACATATGAAGGAGTCAGGCGCTTTCGGTGGTGACTTTATTGCCAATAATTGTAAGAGCAGGCAATTGCTGAACTCTCCATTATTTTGACGAACAAGAGTGTCTTGCGCCATGCCGTAATTGCTCTGTTTTCGATAAGTCAAGAAATAAATCTGAAAAATGGGGAGGATCTTCTGAAATAATGCCAAAATGTTGGCAGTTTAGTTTCGTATCCATTCTCTAAGGGTGCCTTCATACCGCCCGGCAGCAGCCGCCAGCAGCCCATAGCAGCCCGTAGCCGCCGCTGGCCGCTTTTTAGGAACGCAAAATCATCAGCACTTGAGAATCTTAATGCTCCTGCCTAATCTTTTCATTTTCCACGCTTTTCCTTCTGTTGCCACCAGTGTGTAGTTTGATTGACATATCATATTTGTGTCCATTTCATTACCTTGACGCCGTATGGTTTATCCTTTGAACTATAGTTCGCAGATGTTTCTTCTCTTTGTGATTCCCTCTGACTTTGGATGCGTCCATTTTCTGCAGGTGTGCAATTTGTTTACTTTTTGAGTATGCTTTTGCTTCAATCTTCTGGTTAGATATCGATGCATATCTAAATTGCATTCTACTATTTAGCAAGTTTGCCATATTGATTCGCGGGGTGGATTCTTCTGACTTTGAAATCGCTCGCAATCGTTATAGACAAGAAAGATTGCAAAAGTGAATAGGCACCGATAGGAGGATGCAAAGCGCGGCAAGAGAACAATGGATCAAATGTAATGTGTGAATCAAGCTCACATTCGCGGAACAGAAGAAAAAGTGTGGAAGATGAAAAGCGTAGGTAAAAGCACTTAAAGTGTAAGATTCTGGTGGTTTTTCACTCCGGATCAAAAGCGGCCAGCGGCGGCTACGGGCTGCTACGGGCTGCTGGCGGCTGCTACGGGCTGCTGGCGGCTGCTACGGGCTGCCAGCGGCTGCTGCCGGCGCGGTATGAAGGCACCCTATAGGATGTCAAATTCCTGCTTATCCATCTGTGCATTAACGGCTTGAGATTGTACAGTCGATTTTTCTTAGCTGAAAATGTTATAAATTGTTAAAATAGATAGTGGAGAAAAGATTGGCCAAAAAGGCTTAGGCTTACCGACTTAAATTGCCCCTCCTACTCAAACAGTCGAGGGGATGCCTCCGGCGAGCAAATGGCGCGAGTCTGCTACTTCGCGCTCCGGAGCGCTCCGGAGCGCGAAGTGGCAGACTCGCGCCATTTGCCCGCCGGAGGTATCTTCTCGACTGTCTGAGTACTCCGAAAAACTTGTGGTCCACACATGGTGACTTAGACCTGACACCCGTCATTCCAGGCAGCGGGTTTCTCGTCGACATGTCCAAACCGACCGCAGAGGCAAGATTGGGAACACATCTCGTTTGTGTTCCTTTCACAGGGTCTTCAAAAAAGGGAGTCGGAAAATTTTGTAACTTAGACCCGCATAGGGTTGGGGTCTGAAAAGCTTGCAACCAAAAATTGTATTTTGTTCGGACAGTCCTTTCACTTTATCTTCCCCGACTGTTCACTAGTGAGCAGCGTGCAACGCGCCATCACATCAAGCAAATAGATGTTCTCATAGCATGTGCTATCTTTGTGCTCCCCTGACAACAAAAGCCCCCCCCCCCCCTCCCTTCCCAAGAATGAGTCGCGAAATTCTTGAAAATTGTCCACTCATGGAAATTATACCTATCAACAATCTTGCTCTTGACGACGCAGCGAAAATTTTGAACTTTGAAAGTGAGCAGAAGCAGACTGATTTTTCTTAGCTACTTGATTGATGTATTCCGCATCAAACTTATGATGAGGTACTACTTTAGGAGTATGTGTTGTAATTAGGGATCAAGGTGCAGAACGTATACTTTACATACCGCCCATTTTCAGGGACCAGAGCAGCTACAGACATGCGAATGTTGAACCGTTAACGCGAAGATTGTAATTCTATACATCAATTTATGAACTCTCAATTGTCTGTTTTATGTTGTACTACGTCGAATCAAGAGAAAATAGTCAATACTTGTTTTAATTGGTTTCAACTCAAAGTTGACGTTGTTAGACACTTTTCAGTCATACTTTACTCGCTCAAAATCCTCCTTCTTACATTTCGTACTTTGCATGAAATGAATGTCTTACTCCCGTCCGTATTGTTTATGATTGAATTGTGCACAGAAGCGTGCCAGTAAATTCGCAAAGCATTGGGATTACCTCGGTGACTGAACAGGTGAGCTGAAGTTCGAGAAGCAATGGAATATCATTGATTTACCCTAAAGTCTTACAGATAAGTCCGCTTTTTTGACAAGAAAAATCGATGAAAAGCACCCTTGCACAGCCAAGAATCTTGCAGATAAGTCCTTTCATCAGATAAGTCCGCCTACAGATGAGTCCGGACATTTGTGAGATTTTAGGGTAGTTATAATGGAAATAAAGCGGACTTATCTGAAGAGCCTTATTTGGGTCAACAAGCGGACTTATCTGTGGACGGACTTACCTGATGGGAGGACTTATCTGCAAGATGATTTTAGGGTATCCAACAAGATTTCAGGATAGTTATAATGGGAAGAAAGCGGTCTTATCTGAAGGGGCTTATCTGAGTCAAAAAAGCTGACTTATCTGAAGGCGTAGTTATCTGTAGGCGGACTTATCTGATGGGAGGACTTATCTGTGAGATTTTAGGGTAATGGAATTGTGCCACGATAGACTGTGATGAAGTTACTCAGATTTTTCTCTACCTATGTGAAGGTTGCACTCACGCGCACTCGGTCTACTGATCAGATTTTTTTTCGTTTTTATTTCACTTTCGTCAGATCCAAATCTATATACTATTCCATGAGTCTTACAAGAAAAAGATGGTCAATTGAAGTGGCCTTTTGAGGTGGATGTACGCCATCGCGTAGGGCAGAGACGCGTGTCTAAATATGTCCTTAGCTGCGATGCATTCATAACGAGGAGTTATGGCGTTCATTGGAGCAAACATTGAAGCTTATTTAGGATTATATCATTTTCAAAATTTTCTTGGCGATCAAATGAGGCAGTGAAATGTGGAAATCCTTCATATAAGCGCACTACTTAGAAACTCGCACCGACCGGCGGCCGCACAAAGACCGGCTGGTGGGACCACAGCTAATTTCACACAGCCGCATAGTCGACGCCCACCGGCCGGTATTCGGACGGCTGCCGGCCGATATGTGTCAGTCGCGCAACAAAATGGTTGTGGGGCGCGATTCTTCTTCGCTTTGCAGCTTTTTGCCCCTCCCCCCTTGTCCAATCACGAAACACAGTACAGAACCGCAAAAACATATCCATTTATTTCATAAGCATGCATAGTAGGGAATTAAAAGTAAGACTGATACGTACAACCTAATACAATATCTAATGAAGCTTCAAAATTTAGACGTTTCTTATGACGTTTCTTATGTCTACGAGAAGATGACGTCTTTTGTACATGAGAACATCCAGTCGACGCAGAAGATAGCACATCGGACTGCTCGCTGCTCATTCCGAGTTGACTAGTTGCTGCACCTCGTATTCTTTAGGGTGAATGTGCCACACAGCGGACATCTGCAAACAAGATAAGCTTTTGACAAAAGATCATTGATACCAAGACTTACCTGTTCAGGAATTGCTTTGTTTAGTGAGCGGAGCAACCCAAAGCCTATTCCAGGAGGCGTTCATGAATGTTTCCCCTAAACCACTCACCAAGATTAGTTTCTGTCAAATATTTGGTGTAAACCCACTTACCTTTTGCAGTGTGCACAAAGATAGGCATAGGAATACCGGGAATCCGTAGAACATGAGATATAATCAACATCAGTAGATACACAGCAAAGCTCAAGCAAAGCTCAAGCAAATGTAGCAGACACGTACTGAATGTTGCCCTCCCTAAAACTCATAGGGACTAGTTCCAGTCAAATTTTTGATAAGAACGCACCTGTCTTGTGGAGTCTATACTAGGAGTTAGGCGCAAGGTCAGTAGTCTTGCAATAGAACACGAACTAGATAGATTACAGCTCCTGTAGAAATGTGTGTATAGGTAGTACACCCGTAATCCATGAATGCATAGCTGAGACACAGTCGAGTAGATTTCCTGCTTAATATAGTGTCCCTGCAGACGCGACAACGCTAGTGCGTCAAAAATTGCCATTGCGAAGTAGTGAGCGCCTTTTTGTAGTGTTTTCTTTGCTAATTCCTTGCTTTTTAGGTAACTCGTTGCTGAGGACAGGCAGGTATGTTTAAGCATAGGTGCGATAATGTGAGAATTGTCTCACCCCCTCTTCACCCCTGAGCCGGGACCAAGGTGACCCCCTTCACCAAAAGCCGGGAAAAAAATCAGTAGTGAGGTAAGGTTAAGCAAAGGAGATATCTGTACGTGAATTGTTGTACAGGATTGGAGGAGTCTGTTGAAAAAAGTGCTTGGTGACGGGTGTGAGTAATGATTTCTGGACATTTTGGAGTTTTTAACATAAAAAAGTTCATAACTTTTGCGGATGAACATCTTTTACGGCGAAATGGTCACCGTTGGAACCGTATTGCTCTCCGCGTTCAGAAAGCATATAGCATATCTGAGATCCGTTCAAGAAAGTGCGGTGAAGGGTGTGGCTTGTCAATTTTGGGAATTTTCGAGTTTTTAACGTAAAAAAATTGATAAATTTTGTAGATGAACATCTTGTACGCCATGATGGTCACCATTGACACCGTCTCGTCCTCCGCTTTCAGAAAATATATACCCTACCTGGAGTCCGTTAAAAAAGTGCCTGAATGAAGGGTGTCTTAGTGATTTCTGGAGATTTTCGAGTTTTTAACATAAAAAAATTCATAACTTTTGTAGATGAACATCTTGTACGCCGCGATGGTCACCATTGGAACTCTCGTCCTCCGCTTTCAGAGAATATATACTTTGCCTGGGGTCCGTCATAAAAAGTGCAGGGTGAAGGGTGGGTGAGACTTTTATAATGGGGTGCTCAAGTAGACGTCTTTTCACAATGGTAAAAAACTCTCCACTTGAGCACTCCCATTATAAAAGTCTCACCCACCCTTCACCCGGCCACTTTTCTAACGGACCCCAGGCAAGGTATATATTTTCTGAGAGCGGAGGACGAGACGGTTCCAATGGTGACTATCACGGCGTACAAGATGTTTATCTACAAAAGTTATGAATTTTTTTATGTTAAAAACTCGAAAATCTCCAGAAATCACTAGGACACCCTTCGCCCAGGCACTTTTTTTAACGGACTCCAGGCAAAGTATATGTTTATGTTTACTGAAAGCGGATGACGAGACGGTTCCGATGGTGACCGTCACGGCGTACAAAATGTTCATCTTCAGAAGTTACGGATTTTTCTATTCTATAAACTCGTAAATATCCAGAAATTACTACCCACACTCTTCAACAGGCATTTTATCAACAGACTCCAGGAAAACTATATATTTTCTAAAAGCGGAAGACAAGATGGTTCTAAAAACATTTCCTTTGCTGACGTTGCTGTTCATCTACAGAAATTACAAATTTCTTCTTTTAAGAAAATTCGTAAATGTTTAAAAATTGTCTAACTCTTTCCGAAACAAATGTTCTCGCATGCACATCTTCTACGGTAATTCCAAAAACAGGCAGCGTGGTTCAAAAAAGAAAAGGAAATGTTTAAAATATACAAGGTGCTGGTCAGAAATATAATTGTGTGCTAAGCCTGCAGCACATCGATTCACATTTCAGAAAAAAAGATAACCAGTGATGGTGAGGAATAAATTATGAACTTTGACTAGGAAAATGATGAGAAAACACCAAGACTCCCCCCCCCCCCCCGTCGACATTTTATAATTTCTCTACCAAGTGAAACACCCTTCACCCTGGAGAGGCTGCGACCACTGCGACCCCCTTCACCCTGGAGGAGTCATTCTCAACTTATCGCACCTGTGTGTTTAAGTGTAGTTTCTGTTTTCTGAATAGTTTTATCGTCGCCAATTCTCGGGTGTCCACGTGGAAGCCACATCGCGTCAGTTTCATGTGAATTTTTGTCGCATGATGCCTCTTTTATCTTGTAAAGCATTTCCTTGAGCTAGTATGCTCTGGTGCAACTACGGCTTCTCTCTTAGAGGAGTCAATCAATGGATTAGTTCAGGATAAAAACAATAAGTCACACATAAAAGCCCATTAGCGTTTAAGAAATGTTTCACAAGAAAAAAGAGGCATCGGGTGACAAAAAACACAAATGACGGAAATGACGCGAAGGAGCAGCAGCTGACAGTAAATATGCGTAAAATTGACGATGACGTAATTTTTACGTAAATACTCGGAATAAGCGATGATTTACATACTCAGAAGACAGAAACTTCTTTCTAGCCTACCTTTCTCTCCTTTATCAGCAAGGACTGACCTAAAAAGCAAAAAATAAGCAAGGAAAACTCTGTAGAACTCTTGCTGAAACTCATAGTGGCATTTATTGACGCATAAGCGTTGTCGCGTCTGCAGGGACACTATATTAATTAAGCAGAAAATCTACTCGAGTGTACATGGAGAGTTAGTCGAAAGGTCATATGCTGCATCATGGGTAAGGATGATAAACACTAGTGCAAGCAATGGTACGCTGGTTGCACAGCGCAAAATCTCAATACCATGCATCTCGCATTCGTCTCCTGTAAAAGATGGTTACCGTGCCCCTTTGTTCTTTTTTGTTCAGTCAAGAAGTGACGAAATTCAAACCTTATACCCCTCAGCCAGTACGTTCCAGCTCGGCGTGTTACTTCTTTATCGCCATACAAGACAGGCAACAAATTTGAGAAAGGCGCTACAGATGTCATTCGGATTTTCCTTTGATTCTGAAAAAGAGAGCGGTATTAGCAAAGATAGAATAACATCACTGTGAAATTCTAGGTATTTTTGAGTGACAAGCATAGTATAGCCGGTATGATTTTTTTGGAGCAGCCGCCGGCCGGTGCGAGTGTCTGAGTAGTTGGCATAACCGGCTCTGCCCAGCCCTGTCAATAGAAATTTTTATTATATAGTGACCCGCCGCAGTTTCCCTCTATATGACATTTTTTTAATTGGCGTTACGATTCTTCATATATCAGATTCGTAATCAGCACGCTCACTTACTCCTCATGGAAGACAGATTTAAAATCAGCGTTCTATGTTGCATCGAATGGTATGCAGGTTGCTGAGATTGGCCACTTC